TTACGCAGAGAAATCCTGCGGCTTACTAGGCTTTTAATAGAATAATTCAAATCAAATAAATAGGTAAAGATATCTGAAATTATTTATTTCTATAGGATTGTTTAAACGAAATTAACATACGTGCGCACTGCGTCTGGCCGGCTGCGCTCCTGTTTAGCAGTTAAATAGCAATTAAATTACAGCGCATTCTCTGTTTTATCCAAATTGTTTGTTTTAAAACAAGTATTCCTTAGTTTAGTATCCGCACATCGTTTTAGTGTACATTTTTTAAAACATATATTGTGGCAGTCATAAGGAGCACACACGATTTACTGTAAACACGTCTTTATTCCACGACTGCCAAGTGGATCTATTCTGAACAAGGACAGAATAGTGTCTGCCATAATATTTATTGAAAGAAAAATAAATAAAAGTCCGCAAGAGAGAAGCCCGACCCGACCCGAACCTATTTTACTTCCGCATTCCTGTCGTTTTGGTCCGCAGCAGAAACTGCACGTGTGACCGCAAGTGGAGCTGCGCCGAAGCTGCGCCGGTGCTGTCACGCTCAGCGGCTTTGCACGTGTGACCGCTCCACAAAATTTGCTCCGGTGTAAAATATATCGCAACAAAATATTTCGGTGCAGCGTCGGACCAAATGTGTGCCATGTGAACAGGGCTATATATTCTGGTGCTATGCCATGGAGTGCTTTGAAGGTAATTAAAAACATTTTCTAATCAATTCGGAATTGAACTACCAGCCAATGTAAGGATATCAAAATCGGGGTAATGTGAGCTGTTTTGCTTGCTCTAGTGAGCATTCGAGCAGCAGTATTTTGAGATACTTGCAATTTATATGCAGTGTTTTTTTCATGTGTTATTTCTTCATAATCACTTATTTTTATATTGCAATGTATTTATTTTCAACCATGCATTGATTAAAATGGTAAACATTAAAATTATTAATCATTAAATAAAAGGTTCACATAAAATGTAAATATAACAATTTGGGTGACTCGAACGGATTGAAAACATTTCCATTCATTTCAATGGGAAAGGTTATTTCGGTTTACGAACGTTTCAAGTTAAAAATGGGTTCAGAGAATGAATTAAGTTTGTAACTTCGGGTGCCACTGTATTTGGGGACGAAAAAAGCTGTCTATTATTTGAGGGGACATGCCAATAACTGCCTGTGGCAATTAATTGAGGAACTCGCTCTCATAGCAGCTATTGCCTTTTCGCCCATCATATATTTGAACAAGAAATATGAAATCATTGACATTATTGGAATTGGAAAATATCAGTCAACAAAAGAAATCAATGTAAACTAAGCACAGAGAGCTAAAATAAAAAATAATTTAATTTACAGTTTTTCTCAAATGCTAAAACACATTTCATAAAAGTTTCCTCTATGTTCCCCAATGTGTAAACACAACACCCTTTTCGAACACAAACACACCTTCTCACTTCAAAATTCAAACTTTCACACCAAAAGAGCAGCTTCAAACATTCAAAATGTAAAACTCTATACAAATTGTTACACACTACAGCAAAACAATTGAAAAGATAATGTTCACTGTTCAAGTTTCTTTGTTTCATAACTACCGATGCATATTTTTAGAAACTTTACAGTCACGGATCTTCTTAGATCTTTTTTTAGATTTTATGAAGAGCATACATCTAGAGAAATATACTGCATGTACACTACTGTAACACAACTCAAAGCAAAAACAGAATCACACAACAGTACTCTTGAAAACATGTTCAGGGTGTGAAGTTTTTTTATTTACTTTATTCACACCACAATCACTGTGCAGCATCACGTCACTGAGCTGCATCAGGCCACATCGCCTCATGCACATCGCAGACTATATTCTCTCTTGCCCGGCACCACGGGAAAAAAGGTGTAGACTGGTGATTCCATCCTTGGAAGGCCTCCACTGGGATGTCAACACAGGCCTTCTCCAATGCCCTTAGGAGGTTCTATGTAGTGTTTGGTCATAAACCTTCCATCTCCACAATGGGAAAACTTCCTCTTTAGGGTTTCAGCAAAGGGGAAGGAGGGTGGCAGACAGACATTTACTGTAAAAGCTGGTTACTGTTGGTGGTGGACTATACTCTCTGATTTGGTTTGTTCTGGGGAAGCAGACATTGTCCCAAATTATCACATAAATGAGATGTGCAGCCCCAGGATGGTGTTGTTGGCGGTCCGGGAGGATGTCTCTTAGTTCGTCTAGGAAGGAGAGGAAACTTTGGATGTTGTAAGACCTAAGGACAGCATGTGTGGAGAAGCCCCTCCAAACCCATGGCCGCACAGAGAGTAATATTACCCCCCCACACTGGCCAGGAACCTCAGTGACGACTCTTTGGCCAAATGAGGTTGCGGCCTCTTTGCCTTTGTTTCTGCAAGTTGAAACTGGCCTCATCCAGGAAGAGGTACTCATGATGTCATTGTGTCCAACTGTAATATCCTCTGTGAAAATGTGAAAGTACACAGGTGTTCAGAACAACAGGTAGCACAGTGCTGTCCAGAAGTAAAGTAGGCTATTGAGTAACACAGTATGTCCACTAACTGTACTGTGCACATGGATGTACTTACTTGCACATACTCGTAACGTAGGTATTTGTGTCGCGCACAAAGGGAACCCTATGGACCTGTTTCATCTGCATCTTTTGACGCCGGAGAATTGCATCGATTGTGGCCAAGATGACATCATCAATGCGCTCAAAGTTGACATTATTGACAATGCCTTTGTCTCTGATTTCCCGGAGTCTGATGATGGTGCGAGGTTGTCTTGCTCTTCACCCTGGACCTTCTCCTTTCCCTTTTGTTTGCCTCCTCCTCTTCCAAGTTGGCCTGCTTCTTGTCTTGTTGGCCTGCTCCTCTCCCTCCACTCATTTGAACTTCTCTTCCTCATTGGCCTGCTCCTTTTCTTCCATGGCCCGCTCTTCTCCCTCCTCTGGCTCGAATTTTTCTTCCCCGATTCTGCCTTCATCTATTGTGTTTGTTTGGAATCTTCAGCAAACTGTGCACTCTGAACTTGATTTTATACATGTGGTCACAGCATTAGCAAAAAGTGCCTTCAATTTTGAGTATGTTAATTGTGTTCAAATATTGCTGACTGTGGCAACTATTTTGCATCACATGACTTTAATTTGAGAATATGAGCAGAGTTCTTTTGCAACTTGTGTTTTGGCAAGGAAAAATTTTAGATTTATGAGAACAGAGGATTGTGTTTTGTGAATTGTGGCTTCATGTGAAATGCGTTTATGGTATTGGCAAATGGTGGCTGGATTTAGTAAATATGTTTAGACAACTGGTCATTTGGTTGAGAGGATTGGCTTTTGTGTTTTAGCATTTGAGACAAACTATAATCATTATTGGCGGTGGTGGTTGCCTTTTTTTATGCTTTGAATGCAGGAGAGGGGCCAGGGAGGCTCTCGTGACCTACCAACCCTGACCTCTCATGTCTTTGGGCTGTACTTATGTTCTGCATACTCGGCCAATAAAGATGATTCTGATTCTGATGTTGAGTTAATTTATGGCTGTGTGTTTAACAGGCAACTTGACACAAAATTCTGAGGAAAAAAAAATATAATTGTGATGTTTTGCTTTCCATGAAAAAAATGTCTGTTTGTACCATGAATTAAGCTATTTTGTTCCTACCAAAAGAGAAGAATGCAAGAATGTAAATTAACAAATTATCTGTAACACAAAAATCATAAGTGAGTTTGAAATACACATCTAAACCCTTCCCTGAACAGTTCATATTAAAATGCAAACAACAGCAATAATTTCATCCATCCATTTTCCGATCCGCTTTATCCTTATAAGGGTCGTGGGGGGTGCTGGAGCCTATCCCAGCTGTCTTCAGGCAGTAGGTGAGGGATAGACACCCTGAACCAGTTGCCAGCCAATCGCAGGGCACACACAGACGAACAACCATCCATGCTCACACTCACACCTAGGGGCAATTTAGAGTGTTGAATCAGCCTGCCATGCATGTTTTTGGAATGTGGGAGGAAAACGGAGCACCCGGAGAAAACCCCCGCAGGCCCGGGGAGAACATACAAGCTCCACACAAGGAGGCCGGAGCTGGAATTGAACCCGGTACCTCTGCACTGTGAGCTCGACGCGGTAACCACTGGTTCACCGGGGCGCCGTTCCAATAACTTCAACATACTCTTAAAAGGAAAAACACATGAGGACGACAATTCACTACAAATTTTCCTGGCCTCAATTTCGAGAAACACTGAACAGGCAAATTAAGCCTTTTATTTGAGAGTGAGGCTTCATTTTCCTCAGGACAGGTATATGCATCTTACAAATGAAAAAAGAAACAGATTTTGATTACCTTTGTGTCTCGGCAGCAGCATTGACACATTCCTTTACAACCAAAATGGAATCGCAAATGCTATCTTCAAAATGCAGATTATCCAGGGGTTAGGGAGAACATTGATTTACTCTTCAGTCTCTGCTTTCTACATGACTCGGAGTTTGGTTATGAAGCAATTAGGTCACAGTCTCACAACATGAGACACAACGGTTTTGAGATGACTTCTGAAAGAACACAGGTTTTTCTCCTTTGATTCTTTAAAAAAAAAAAAAATCATTTCTGAATCAACTTCAGAACAGCCGTGCTGTGTTGTATCTTCAATATAATAATAGTACAATAGAAATCTTCCAGTAAAGGAACAATTAATTGGCTCATTATGGTCACGTGATCACAAGTGACATCATACTGAATATACATAGTTTGTGAGAGCGTCGTATGTGAGATAGAAATGGCCGCGTAAGGATGCACGGTTCACCATGTAAAGATACCTGTTGTATAGGAATTAGGCCTCTTAGTGCCTAAACTTAAAAAATAAATAAATAAATGCTTGACCAGGGTGACCTGAAATAGACTGGCCGCTCAGGAGTTGTCGTCTTTCTCAAATGACACCCCACTCTGGTGTGGATAAAATGATCATTGTACAACCAACCGTTATTTAACAACATTTCTGATGCATTGTTTCTTCAGATTTCTCCATCAGGTGCGAGCAACCGCACCCCAAAGCCAAAGGTTCTCGTGACTAAGAACCCCTACCCATCTCCCCTGCCAACGGACACCCAGGACATCCACAACCAACCTCATCTGGTGGACCAGCGTGACTATTCCACTGAGTTGTCAGTGACTATCGCCGTGGGAGCATCTCTGCTCTTCCTCAACATTCTGGCTTTTGCAGCTCTTTACTACAAGAAGGACAAACACCGGCATGACATTCACAAGCGCTGCAGCCCTCAACAGAGTGCAACCAACAACCTTGCTCATACACAGGAGGAGGAGATAATGTCTCTTCAGATGAAGCAACACTCAGACCTGGACCAAGACTGCAGGCAGATGGGTGATTCGCTGAATCCTCATGATGTGTTGCTCAGGACTACCTGCCCACCAGACTACACTCTGGCCTTGAGGCGCTCACCAGATGACATCCCTCTCATGACACCAAACACCATTACCATGATCCCGAGTACTATCGGACGGCTTACTTCTCTCCAATCTTTCAGCACCTTTCCCAGCAGCCAACAAAATAACACTCTTCCCCACCCACACTCACATTCCACCACCCGAGTATAGTCCAGGACATCCACTCAACAGGCAGGACTCTCCTAACTACTGTCCATCCTCTTTGAGAATCTTAAAATGCTCTGTCAGAGGCTAACACCAGCCTGAACCACTGGTTATAGTGACATTTATCAAGGGACATAAGTCACTTTTTTTTATTGTAAAAATCACGAAAATCAAGAAGTACAAAACACCTAGATTAACATAATTATACAGACACATCAAGATATATTTTTCAGCATTTTTACTCTGAAAATACATCCAAAAAATTAAACTGTGTAATCTGGAAGTACAAAGTATTAGAATCTGCTTGGGACTGAGTGACATGAGAATAGCTATTCAATGCACTGTAGACTACTGCAGGGCAGATTCCATTCAAAGCAATTTTGGCATGTATTTCATGAATGAATACATTGGTTTTTTTCTGTTTGTTTGATTGTTTGTTTTTGGGATGAAAACAGAAAAGACGAAAACATTTAAGGAAGAGTATGAAATATGCACAATGGAATCCTGAAGTTTTTCATTCTTGTATTTTTGAGTTTGAGAATCGTGAAAGAAGTTAACATTAGACCAATTAAAATATGTAATGCTGAACTTTGAGCATCAATGCTTTAGAGTCATTGTATTGAATGGGTGGCTTGGTCTACAACTGTCGCAGCAGGACTGAACCCAAGGAGATACAGGCAGTTCCAAGGAGATCTGGGGAACCAGAAGGATGAGTAGATTTTAACACAATCTGTGCATGACACTTTATTTTCTTAATAAAAGGAAAAATTATCATTTTCACCCTTGATGAATGAATTTTAGTTGAATTTCCTGAATGGATTATTGGAAAAACATTCTCAGAAGACTATGGGGGATTCACTCCCACAACTGTGGCTACTGTGGCCTGGGACTTACAGTAGGTAAAAGTGCAGATGACAATATCCGTTGCAATATATGAGGACAAGGTTTGCAATCTGTGCTGGCACTTCATTAAATTTATTGTACCATAATTCCAGCGCTACGTTACTCTGCTACTTTATGCAACTTGAAACTGTTTTTTCAACACTGATACAAAACCAGACACAGTTGAGTGTAGTAAAATTGCTCGATGATTACCATATTATTCTGGTTGATGTGGAAACATGAGCATACTGCATTTTTAAGCAAAGCACAAACTCACTTTTCAGCTACCTTTTCTTCTCAATGTTTCTCAGTGTTGAATATATCTATCGAGTACATCCATTTTTGAATCCGCTTATCCTCACGAGGTTCGCAGGCGTGCTGGAGCCGATCCCAGGTGTCTTCAGGCAGGAGGTGGGCTACACCCTGAACTGGTTGCCAGTCAATCGCAGGGCACACTTCGACGAACAACTATCAGTGCTCACAATCACATCTAAGGACAATTTAGAATAAACGATTAACCTACGGGGTGCATGTTTTTAGAATGTGGGAGGAACCCGGAGTACTCAGGCAGGCATGGGGAGAATATGCAAACTCCACCCACACAGGAAGGCCGGAGATGGAAACAAACCTGTGACCTCTGCATTGTGAGATATATATATATGTGTAACGGAGTGATATATTGCGTTTATTAAATTATGACGGAAGTGACGCAACAGCGCACAGTATGGCACCAGCTTCCGCCGTAGTTCAGGCAGAGCTGCCAGGGAAGTCACATGGTAAGTCACTTTTCATTGACCGTCCGGATTTATTTATAGTTTAAAGACAATGTTTCACTTTGTTTTTCCTTTTTTTATGGTACGATGTCTTTAATTAGTTCCCTGATTTGTCCCAAGTCCAAATTGCTTTTTGTATTATTTAATTTTAAGTTTTGTCGAATTAAAGTTTTTACCCGTTGAGTTATTAGTGCTTTTCTGTTACTCAGCTATGTCCGACACCAAACGCAACTTCACCATTCTCCTGCAATACTGTGTTTCAGGTAGTGATGTGCCCGACTGTGCCGAGGCTCTGATGCGTGTGCCGAGTAAACCGGAAGAAAATCTGCGAAGCGCGCTTCGAGGCATGTGTCGATTTCGCTTGTGGCCACGCCCGATGCCTCGGAACGCGCGTTGCTCCGCCCAAAGCTTCGTGAGACGGGATTCCGACATCACCGCCAACAAATAGTTTCGCGGGTGATTCGAAATAAAACGGCGCACCGGGACGACAATGAGCTGACAGGTGACACTGACTAGAGATAAGATCGGGCCGCCCGAGCCCGCGGGTCGGGTCTGGCTTCTCTCTCGCTGACTTTTTTTTTGTTCGTTACGAGGCCGTGAATAGTTTTGGCCACGAGAAGACCGGGGTTCGCCAAAAAAACAGAAGTGGCCTCATCACAACATGTGTAGCATATGGCCGTTTACCATACTGCTACACGATGTTACGACAGTGTCGAAAAGCATTGGTTGGTTGGGTGACGACTGACACCTGTTACGCAGTTGAATAAAGACCATTGAAAAAGAAAGTCGTGTCCTCACGTTTCCTCGGACACAAGTATGTGTGTGTAATTGTCACTGTCAATGTGTCATTGTGTGAATGTGTGTATTTGAGAGAGTGTGCGTCAATGCGAGAGGCTGTGCGTGTGTGTGCGCGTGCGCGTGCGTGCGCTGCAGTGTGATTGAGTTTATGTGAGAGCGTGAGCATGTTCATGTGTAGAAAAAACACCGAGCGTGTGTGTGCATCTTTTCCTTATTTTTTGTAAATAATCACTATATGATCACCCATGTTTTGTATTTGGTCTTGTTGTTTATTTTCTCTTGCTAAGATGACGATATAGCTCAGGCAGAGCTATGAGGGAAGTCACATGCTATGTCCGACACCAAACGCAACTTCCCCATTCTCCTGCCATACTGTGTTTCAGTAATAAAAAAAGAGAGAGAGAAAAGCCACACTCCACGCGTCTGGTTTTATTGAGGCGGCAGCGACGTGGAGCTTGAGAATATCAGAGTTGTGACCCCCAAGTCACATTGGTGCCGTGACCCGGATCACAAGTTGACTCTCCACTTCGGACCGGGACCACGACGCTGTGCCGCTTCATCATATCACTAGGTGGACAGTGTGTGCTCATGTTCTGCAATTAGTGTGTGTACTTTTCGCCATTGTTGTGCGTTGCGCAGCCGTTCTGCTGCGTGTGATGCGTTCGGCGGCATCACGTAAATAGCAGTGTGTGTGCATCTTTTCCTTATTTTTTGTAAATAATCACTATATGATCACCCATGTTTTGTATTTGGTCTTGTTGTTTATTTTCTCTTGCTAAGATGACGATATAGCTCAGGCAGAGCTATGAGGGAAGTCACATGCTATGTCCGACACCAAACGCAACTTCACCATTCTCCTGCCATACTGTGTTTCAGTAATAAAAAAAGAGAGAGAGAAAAGCCACACTCCACGCGTCTGGTTTTATTGAGGCGGCAGCGACGTGGAGCTTGAGACTGTCACAGTTGTGACCCCCGTCACATTGGTGCCGTGACCCGTCGATCACAAGTTGACTCTCCACTTCGGACCGGGACCACGACGTTGTGCCGCTTCATCATATCACTAGGTGGACAGTGTGTGCTCATGTTCTGCAATTAGTGTGTTTCTCGTCTCAACTGCTGTTTTGCAATTGGTGTACTTTTCTGCATTTTTTTCTCTTTTCCTCTGGGGGTTTTTTTTGGTGAAGTCTCAGGATGAGCTCCTTACAAGGAACGTTTAGTACACTTTTGAATAAGTGTGTTGGTAGAGGTAGAGGGATCCCGACCGTGTTACAGTTTAGTAGTCCTGTACAGAGTGTTTCTTCAGTATATATATAATATAGACATATATCTATATACAGTAAATATTCCCATCCCCGGAATTCTATGAAAAGGAATTTCCTTCACCCGGAACAAAAACCTATGCATTAACATTTTGACTACGATATTACATGTTACCGGAACTCAATAAGCGGAAATTCCACTACCCGTAACCCAGATGGAGACGTCATGCCGCGAGAGCTTAAATACACGCAACCCCCACCCGATGCTACGGAAAGACCCGTTTTCATTTCGCATTTTTCGATCATCAGATCAGAAACGACGACGTGTAAGTCACTTTTTATTGGCATGCGTTTCACTCTAATTGCGAGAGATTTTAACTTTATTCACTTACGTCCCGTAGATCACGGCACTAGCTTAAAAAACAGTGCCCACTCGACACGACCGATGAAATGTGTTCGCTTCGCCGTTTTCATTCATCAGATCCGAAACGACGACGTGTGAGTTTTTATTGGCGTGCGTTTTATTGTAATTGTGAATGATTTTAACTTTATTAACTTACGTCCCGTCGATCGCCGGCACTAGCTTAAAAAGCAGCGCCCACTCCACACAACGGAAGAAACGTTCGCGTCGCCGTTTTCATTCATCAGATTCGAAAGGACGACGTGTAACTGACTTTTTATTGGCGTGTGCTTTACTGTAATTGCGAAAAAATTTAACTTTATTCACTTGCGTCCTGTAGATCATGGCATCGAAACGTAGAAGAACTGTCATGACTGTAGCGGAGCGAGTGAAACACATCTGTTTGAGCGAGGCTGGACACAAAGTAAAAGCATCCAGGAGACACTTGGGAGTCGGAAATCTACGAAACTTTAAAAAACAAGGCATCGATTCAACTCCTGATGACAAGCCACCATCCAGCGAGGAAGCAATGCAAATGGCAACAAAAATCCTTCAGTATGCACAAGAATCACCAGACATCGGTGATCAACGGGACAGTTACTTGCAACGAGCAAGAAAACTGTATGACACGCAGGCGAACGTTGTCATAAGCCAAAGAATGCACGCAACAAAACAATCCAAAATAGACCAATTTTTTTCCAAGGCAGGCAAAAAAATAAGCATTAAAATACTGTATTGTACTGTACTTTTGTGATTTTTTTTTGATTCACCTGTACCTGGACAGTATTGCAGTTTTTGTTATATGCAGTAAACAGTTTTTGGACAGTATATTTTTGCATTTTATTGATTGTGATGTTACACGTGCATTTTGTCAACATACTTGCAGGTTCATAAAGGACATGTACCATGCTCATTTCCCAAATGAGGAATTTCTGTTATCAGGACAAATTGGACAGTGCAAACACGAGTCCGCACTAGAGAATATTTACTGTATATAGATATATATATATATTTATATATAGATATATATAATGCTTTATCATGGCGAAACGACCGGGCAGTGAATGTGATATGTCGACTCCCCAAACCAAAATAAGAATGAACTGCGGTTCTTTTATGTTGGAATGGCTGTCAGAGTACGTGCAAATACACAAGCAGTGAAACTGGGGGAGATATTTTTTTTTTCGAATGAGAAAGGTCTGCTCTACAAAACATGCAGCAAAGCTTAAACTGTAAGCAAATTTTCCGATGGAAAAATACGGACTAAATGGAAGCTGGACTACCTCAAGCGACACATTAAGCAGAAAAGTCATTTGAATGATGTTGGAATTATACAAAGACTCAAGATGGGAAAAGGGACTGGAACAATATTGTGGGAGAGCGCAAACGACCGGGAGAAAAAAAAAACGGCTGTCACACAGAAAAAAAAATCCGACCCTGAGCAAGTTAAAAGTTCTAATTGACTATATTTTACTTACCATTAAAACGAATGCACCAAATATTGGACTGATGTTGATTTAATTCCTATTCAATGTGTTTTTATTATTGCGTTAATTTTCAATGTTAAAAAAACGTTTATAGTAACAATATAACACTTAATTGTTAAAACAAGCTTTTTTCACATTTTCAGTTAGTGGTGTGCCGCGGGATTTTTTCAATGAAAGAAATGTGCCTTGGCTCGAAAAAGAAACACTGCTCTAGCCTGTCTTCAGGTTATCCCCAGACTATTGGACAGTCCAAGAGAGTCAATCACGTCCTGGAATCAGCCTTTGTGTGTGTCTCAGGGTGCCATCCAGCTTCCTGGAACCTACACCTTCCATGAGTCGAGTATTCTCACAATTTCCTCACCTCCTCATCCACGGTCACCTATGGGTATC